AGGCACCTGCTAGTAAGGGCCAGCCTCTCCTTTGAAGTCTGTGAGTGAGGGTTTAGCTGGGAGTTGTTGGTGACAACTGATGGCATTCTGTAGTTTTCCCTGCTAAACTTGTCTTGTAGAAAGTGTGCCTATCCAGTCTCATCAGTCTGTCTTTTCACTTCTATAGGTCGGTATTGTAATTTTAGAAATACTTGGTGTAAGTCCTGCAGGTGATTCCATCTGTCCCAAGGAATGGCGTAAATATTATTATACTTTGGAACTTGACCATAGACAGTTAATCATGTGATGTTCTGGATGGCAGTTTATAAGAATGTCTGTGGTGAAAAGTGCCATCAAGCTGCAGCCAATTTATGGTAACCCCATAGGGTTTTCAAGGAAAGAGATGAGAGGTGGTTTGCCATTGCCTGCCTCTAACAGAAAGCCTGGACTTTCTTGGTGGTCTCCCATCCAAGTACTAACTGGGGCCAATCCCACTTAGCTTTGGACATCTGATAAGATTGGGCTAGCCTGGGCTATCCAGGCCAGGGCAAACCATGTGTACATAAACCATTTAGATGTCCATCATGTTATCCAGAATGTGGACATGCTGTATGGACTGAGCCAGGGTTAGATTGATATTGATGTGAAGATTTCCCAAGGGCTTCCATCCTCTGAGTCCACATAAGAACATAAGAGATGCCAATGTTGGATCAGGCCAAAGGCCCATCCAGTCCAACACTCTGTCACACAGTGGCCAAAAATACCAGGCGCCATCAGGAGGTCCACCAGTGGGGCCAGGACATTAGAAGCCCTCCCACTATTGACCCCCCCCCCAAGCACCAAGAAGACAGAGCATCACTTGCCCCAGAGCCCCTATCTATACCTTGTGGCTAATAGCCACTGATGGACCTCTGCTCCATATGCCTATCTAATTCCCTTTTGAAGCCGTCCATGCTTGTAGCCGCCACCACTTCCTGTGGCAGTGAATTCCAAGTGTTAATCACTCTTTGGGTGAAGAAGTACTTCCTTTTATCCGTTCTAACACAACCGCTCAGCAATTTCATGGAGTGCCCACGAGTTCTTGTATTGTGAGAAAGGGAGAAAAGTACCTCTTTCTCTACCTGCTCTTTCCCATGCATAATCTTATAAACCTCAATCATGTCACCCCTCAGTCGCAATGCATGGCTAGGAATAAATACAGTGAAGCAACATGTTGAATACCGGCAAACAGATTGATGACTTACTGAACCAGTCCTCGAAAAATCGTCCCTGCTTGTGATCAGTGAACAGAGCATGAGCCAAACTGGCAGGTGTTCATATGTCCCTAGCCAGGAGTAAGCTACGATGTCCATGTTTGTACAGAATGCAGAACCGTATTTAAGACTAACTGTGGTTAACAAAACAAAGTATGAATCCAGTGGCACCTTTAAGACCAACAAAGTTTAACTCATTTCGTTTCCCCTCCCCTTCCTCCTGTGAGGTAGGTAGGGCTGAGAGAGCTCTGACAGAAACTGCCCTTTTTTCAAGAACAGCTCTTATCAGAGCTACGGCTTGCCCAAGGTCATCCAGCCAGGTGCAAGTGGAGGAGTGGGGAATCAAAC